ATCCAATATACATTTAGTTAGCTTATTTCCTCTTGTAGTAACACTGGATCAATAAGAGATGACCCTTGGTGGACCTCTATAGGAAGAACAGTCTAGAACTGATAGAACTATCCAGTATAAATAAAGTTATTTTAGTTTAGGTTTCCTCCTGTAGTAACACTGGATCAATAAGAGATGATTCTTACTAGATCTCTAGGAAGAACAGTTTAAAACTGATAGAGCTATCCAGTATAAATAAAGTTATTTTAGTTTAGGTTTCCTCCTGTAGTAACACTGGATCAATAAGAGATGATCCTTATACTGGACCTCTGGGGAGAACAGTTTAAAACTGATAGAACTATCCAGTATAAATAAAGTTAGTTTAGTTTAGGTTTCCTCCTGTAGTAACACTGGATCAATAAGTGATGATCCTTACTGGACCACTAAGAAGAATTTTCAACAGATAGAACTATCCAGTATACATAAAATTAGTAACACCAAATAACATACTTTATCAACAACGCCAGATTTCTCCTTATGTTTAACGGCGTATCTATTATAGACTTGCGTGCCCACAAGCCAACAGAGGTGGTTCAGCGGTGCTCCATATGACTGGCTACATACTGGTCCAGTTATCGCTTCCACTGCGAGATCAGCGTATTCATGACATGGCACCAATAATCGCGTGAATGGACCAGTTTTGCTCCGTTTGTTGGCTGGATAAAAACCCAATCATTGTCAAGCGTTTCGGCAGCACACTGGTTTGGATCTGTGCCATTCTCTAGTTTTCTCTTGTAGTAACATTGGATCAATTTGAGATTGATCTTACTGGATCTCAAGAAAGAACAGTTTAGAACGATAGAACTATCCAGTATAAATAAAGTTAGTTTAGTTTAGGTTTCCTCCTGTAGTAACACTGGATCAATAAGAGACTGATCTTGCTGGACCTCAAGAAAGAACAGTTTAGAACTGATAGAGCTATCCAGTATAAACAAAGTTAGTTTAGTAATCAGTGCCGTAGCCAGAATGATAAT